TTCACATATCATCTATATATTATTAAATATCCTTATTTCCATTTGAACTGATTATAGTAAAATCTTAGAAAAGATTATGTGGAATTCAACAAGTCCTTAAATCATAAATACAACCAAAGTTTTTTCATTTCATTTTTATGCGATCGGTATTTTACTGTATTTGTTTATTAATTTGACAAAAAAAGAAGAATACAACCCTAAATCCCCAATTGCTCTGCCGGCGCACAATGGCAGCCCACTTAAATGCGGAGGTAAATGAGAGCAATAAAGTTCAATTATTATTTTATTTTATAAATAATTGTTATAAACATTTTGACGGGTCCAAAATATGTAGAAACTGAGCTTTAGTTAAAATGGCAACATTGATTCAAAAGGATGAACCTATACACTGCAAAAAATTTAAATCTCAATAAGTGCTATTTTCCTTAAAATAAGTGAAGACGGATGAAAATCCGTCAAGCTTTTGAGCTTTGGTGCCATGGGGAAGTTTCCAAATTCCTTCTAGACTGGTAAATTAATGCTAACCTTTGGAAAACCTGGCAACTGGCCAGCGAACAATTCAATTTAAAGTTAAAACAAGAGCAGGTGAGTAAAGTATCCCACACTGCAAAAAATTGAAATCTAAATAAGTCATTTGTGCTCAAATTAAGTGCATTTTTTCTTGAATTGAGGAGATAAGTGAGACAATTTGCCAATGGAACAAGACAATTTAAATTTAAAATAGGAAAAAAACTATTGCTTTGTCTTATTTCAAGTGTATATTATCTAATTATCTTGTATTAGTAGTAAAAATACTCATTCCATTGGCAGATCATCTTATTTACCTGCTCAAATTAAGGGTAAGTACACTTAATTTAAGCCATTTTTTACTTATTTCTAGATGTTTTTTGCAGTGCACTCTCTAGTCAGAAGAAGTCAAACCTATAGCTATCTTATTTAATCTTATTGTATCTATTTTTGATCATGTTTGTTTAATATAATTTGTAAATGGCAGAGGCATGAAGGCTTCACACACTAATTTACTTAATCACTTAACTCAGTTATATTTTTATCTCACTATATGTCATATATTTTATTTCAGTTTCTAGTATCTAATTTACCCAACTTGACAGAGGGAACTTTGTGTTAATCCATTTTATTTGCACACTGTTTTAACTACTCAGAGGAGCCTGATCAGTGGGAGATCGAGCTGTACACCTCCTCACTTGGAAGAAGGAGGAGGTGATTGGAAGAGGGACAAGGGTCAGCACCCCCTCTTTGGACATCTTCTGCAAACATTACCTATTGTCACTTATTAGGGATGGAATGGTTTATAAAAACCGTCGAACCGTTTGGTTCGACTGTCTCGGTTCGATTCACGTGTGTTGCGTTCGGTTCATGCGCTGCTCCTTTTTCTCATAGGCGAAGCGTTTACACTCCAGAGCAGAAGGTGGCGGTACTGCGACCAAAGCCAACCACCAGTAGTAAACAAGAAGAAGAAGCGAAGCAGCGTAGCGTAGTGTAGAAGAAAAAAATCAGTTGTTGTGGAGAATTGTGTGGGTATGGCGAGTGGGAAAGAACAGGAGTTGGAAGACGCGCCAGCAGCACTTTATAGGTCTGCTGTATGGGACCACTTTGCATTTAGAGTGACCTACGATGACGGCGGAAAGAAAGTTGTGGATAAAAGTGCAACAGTGTGCAAGCATTGTGTTGTTTATGCTAACAGCAACACGACCAACATGTCATGCTAACCCCGAAATCCCTCATACTCCGTCAGCGCTCCGCCCCGCCCCGCTGCGCTCCAGACCGGCTGCTCAAAGCAAAGCCTACAGCCTCCACTGTGGCTCCCGTCCGCTCCGCTCTGAGTTCCTTGGAGATGGTAGAGGGCATGTGCGAGATGATTAAATTTAAAGCAGCAAAACATGCGGAAATGATCCAGGGTTTCCGCGGATCATTAAAAATAGTTACAATCCATACATTTTTTTGGATTTTTTTCATTCATTTTTATGGAATTTCGGTGTAACAATAAACATATACCGAACTGAACCGAAAACCGTGAATCGAACCGAACCGTTCCACCCCTATCACTTATGTGCAATATTCTTCTCTCTCACTGTGCAATAACACATGCCAACTACTGTTTAGACTGTTTAATGTTTTTACTTATTTGTAAGGTCAGTATATCTCTGCAGTGCAAGTGCAATAACCGAATTCAACTACTGAGTAGTCTTCCCTTAGCTCTCTACTGTGCAGATATGTTTATAAAGGAATCATATTCCAGGACATTACAACTTTTTTTCTTTTTTATGCTTTTTTTGTTCTATATACACTCTTTTTATATTGTCTGTCATATTTTTTTTACCTTTAATGGCATCTTGCTTTAACTCTGCCCTTTGTACTCTATATAAGCTACTGGAACCAGAATTTCCCTGAAGGAGATCACTTGTACAGCATTATATCGTGAGGGATAAGTATTTTTATTTTATTTTTTTCTATAAATGTATTGTCTAGTTTTATTTTATTTACTATTATTTTATTCTTTTTTTCCTTATTCTGTTAAATTCATTTTATTTGAGCTCATGTGCAACTTCATAGGACTTGTTTAATTATGTTTAAATGAATTTTACTGTTTTCCATTCATTTTATGAATTTTGCTTATTTGTATTAAAATAATAAACCAAAAAAAAAACATAGTGCTTCTTAATGGAAAAATAAATGATAAAAATAATAAATAATAATGATTTGTAGTTTCTTTTAGAAGCGCTAATGCAGAAATGTCTTTTTTTCTTCAAGCTTTTTTAAAAATCTTTCCATTTTTAAATCTTTCCAGCTACCATGAGTTATGCTCCACAACAAACTGCATGCGGCGGCTACATGTTACTTAATGTGGAGAGCAGTTAACCACAGAGAAGACCTGCAGTGATGAGAGTTAACAAGCTCTATGGAAGGAGAAAGCATGTCTCTGTGAGGTTAATATACAAACAGGTGGTCAATGGAGGCGGTGGATGGAGGGCGACAGGCATGCAGAGAATGATTATTCAGCTGGATGGCCAACCTCTGGAGACCTTTAAGGAAACTTCACTCTTAAATGGTCCTTAAACTAAACCTGACATTGACAAGTGCTGATGTTCCAGCTTATTTTTTAATGCATGCGTAACTAATGCATTTTCTTTTCCACTGAAGAATTTATGGATATTTACTGTAGGCCTGAGTTCTTCTAACCTCTGAAATGTGGAGAATGTCTGCAGCCACAGCTGTGCTCCTTCACCCACATGATTGATTCAGTTAAAACACAGCTTCTGCCTCTGGGTCTCTGCCTACGCTTAATGATTATTGGATCCTGGTAACGAGCCAATGGTCCAAGATATTTCAGAGCGGGATCAATACCATCAATATCTTCCACAGGTCAGCAGATTTACTAAGAGCTGAAGAAATGTGATAAGGCTAATCAAATTTGCACGACTTTTAAAATGTTTTTCACACTTTGATCTAAACTAAGGCCAGCGTGAGGGCTGCAATACCACGTTATTTTAGTAAGGGTGAATGACTGGTCTTTTTTTTTTTTAGGCTGCATGTCGTAGTTTCTTCATATCAAATTTCCACCTATGATTAACAGTTTTTTACATTAAATCACATTTGTTCAAAACTTAGCAGCGTTCTGTAGATCTTACTAGAATTAAATGTGAGTGAGCTTCAGTGAAATGACATCTAACAGCTGCATTTAACAGGTAAAGTCATTGAAAGTGAATATATTCTAATTTATTTTGAGTCAATACTTAAAGTCATGAACCATACAGATCAACTTCACACAGTGTGACAGCTAATTAGAATAAAACTTACAATATAAGACATTAGATGTATTAGAATATTAGATTAGTACAATAAAAAAGAAAAAGCAATATGGTCTAATTGAATATATATGTCCATATATTAAGCAATATCCACTCTAGGAGCTTGCTCTGGGCTCCTTTTGCATTAATTACTGCATCAATGCAGTGTAGCATGGAGCAGATCATAGTTCTGGTGTCTCTCATCTTCCACTGCAATTTATAGTCTCTGTGGGATTTAGCTCAGGGAAATTTGGCAACTGGCTCCCATTAGTGAAACCAAAGTACCAATTGTGGTTTTCAATTAGCATCTAGCAAAAGGATTTTGGCAAAGGTGCTGAAAGTCCTCTAAAATGTCCCAATAGATGGATAAGGAGACGTTGAACTGGCGGAAACACAGTAGATCCCCACCATGGTGGATAGCAGTGGGCTAAATGATGCTGGAGAACTACTAAATATATAGCCCATTGTATTAAATATGTTTATTTTTTATGTTATAATTATTCTTCCTAGATTTTTTGAACTTTTTAGTTGGATTTTTTCTTTTATTTGTAGCCCATGATCAGCTAAACTAACAGCAATAAACACACTATGTGCGTAATGAATCTATATCATGTGTTTCACTTTCTGAATTAGTAAAATCAAACAACTTTAGGGAAGTTGTGCTAACGGACTGCGATGCTGCTGTTCTGTTTCTGTGATCTGCATGGAAATTTTGCTTTGTTTTTTATTTAAGAGTGAAGTTCTCCAAAAGAATGGCAGCACACATGAGTAGAATATAAGCGGGTAATAAAAGAAACAAAGATGTTCATACTCGTTTTGGCCTGATGAGGTGGAGTCTGAGCATGGGGCATTGCTGGTGTCCTTGCTTGAGCCGTCTACTTGTGAGTCCTTACTCTGGGTGGAGTTGGGAGCTTTGACTGACTCACACTGACTCTGTGGCCCGTCGGCATTGGCAGAGGGTGGGCTAACTGGCTCTAATACAGGAGGGCTGGAGGCAGGGGGTTGTTTGGGTGTGTCGCTGAGGTCAACCAGGGGTCCAACATTGCATTCAGGGTCAGCTTTTGGGGAACTGGAAAGGGCCTCTGTGGTGTTTTTAGGAGAAGGCTTCAAGTCAGAGGGGTTAGTCTGCGGCGTGCTTAAGCTCTCAGTAACCGAGTTAGCAGCAGTGGAGGGGAGTACGTTTACCACGGGGTGTGGGGAATCTGCAGCAGCAGGTCTGTGTGGCAGGGAGTCACAGGGAAAACAGGAAGGAGGTGAAGGAGGAGGAGAGGAGATCAGAGAGGAAGCACAGAGCCAAAAAAAAAAAAGAAAAGTGTTAGGGTAACAACAAGGTAGTAAGTGCTTTTGTGCTCAAGTGAAGAAAGTAAAAATCTATACAATCAAAATGTAAGAAACAAAATACTGGAGGGTAAAATCAAAAAAATAAATAAATAAAAAGGAAGGACATGCAGTTTTTCAAGGACAAAGGAGATGCTATACTTGACGTGTTCGCAGCCTTTTATAAAAGCTAAAGAGATGTTTTGTTCTGGAATCACGTAAAGCCCCATAAATCCTGTTGCAATATAGTCCAGTACCACCATCAACCCCTGAAATGCTACATTATGGATAATGGTATTGGTTTTGATACATCAGTTGTTTTCTTTTATCTTTGTGTTGTTAAAACTCCACGACTGTCCTCCAAAATAACCATCGCATGATTGTCCCTTTAAACAGTTTCCTATCATATAGCGCTCTTTTATTGTGGGACATGAAAATGCAACTACTTAGCCTAAAATATAAAATTCTGATGTGTCTTTCTATTTATTGTCCATCATAGTAAGAAAAGCAAGAGAACATTCGGCTCGTTTTATGTGGCTAAGCAACACAAAGTAGAACATTATTGGAAAGTGGAAAGAAAATGATCGACACTTTGCTTTCAAATTAAATCTAAAATGTGCCGTCATTTTCTGTTCTACCCCTTTTTTACTCAGACTCTGCTAAATAAGATCCTGTATAACCAGTTACTTTCATAGGCTCACTGTTTAGTAAATAGCGTCCATTTGTGTGTAATTTAATCAGAGTACAAATTAAGCTTCAGTGAAGGCATATAGTGTTTGGATAAGAACATAATAGAGCAAAAAAACTAAACATGAAAAGAGAATGAACCGACTGCAGACCAACCAAGTCGTGGATGTCCACCTAAACTGGCAGGTTGAGAAAAAAAAAAAATCAGAGAAGCAGCCAAGGGACTCGTTGCAACTCTGCAGGAGCTGCATAGATATATTATTCAGGTTGTAGAATCTGCTGACAGGATAATCCATGATAGAGGAAGCTTTCAAGCAGAAGACCATAAAAAGACACATTTTACTTCCAGCCACAAGCTATGGAAGGGACATAGCAAGCGTTGCAAAGATGAGACCACATTGCCATTTTGTCCTGATGCAAAATGTCAATTGTGGTGGAATCAGACACACTATTCCAACCCTGAAACATGGTGGTGGAAGCATCAGGTTATGGTGATGCCTTTCTTTGGGATTGACCGGGAATCCGAGCTAATGGATGGAAAACGTGTGAGTCTGTGGATGGTTTAGGGCTGTGGTTTAGGTGTAGCCAGAGATAGATGGAATGGTTTATATGTTCATGTGGTTGAATGGCCTTTTTTAAAATTTGAACCTTAATCCAAAAGGAAATTAGCTCTAGATGTTATACTCACAGGCTTTCTCCATCCAATTATTTTTAAGACAGAGCAAATTTAAATATTCTTGTACTATGAATTTTCTTTCGCTCTATAATTATGCTCTACTTTGTGTTGATTTATCACATAAAATTCTAATAATATACATTAAAGGAATAGTACACCCAAAACAT